TTTGGTAACATGGAACCTTCCATTGCGGCAAAAGCAGCCCATGTTGTTCAGCAGGCAAATGAAAGATTGAAGAGAGAACGTCAGGAGACACAGGCTACTGCAGAGTGGGAGACACATTCGAAAAAGAGAAGCATACTGGATGAACATGGAAACTTGGCATATCAAACGGCCATGGGAACTGGTCATGTTGGCACAGGAAGTGTATCTGGAGATGGGGTCTACGGTTTTCGTGGTATAAATAATAAGCCTAACAGCACTAGAGAGTTGACACCGTTTGAGATCCGAAACATGTTGATGGAGAAGGCTCGGACAGAGATCTGCAAGAAGTTGACTCAATGGAGATCAGAAAATGCAGCTGCAGAGACGGAGAAAAAGAAGGCGAAAGAGAGCAAGAAAGAAAAAGAAAAACGTTCCCTAAAAGGTCCTGCACATGATCCGAATGGGACTGGCGTGTCTTTTGCTACCAAGACAGGAGACCAAGCCAATAAGAGTGTCCATAGAGCTACTGCTGATGGTAAAAATACAGAGGACCTTGCACCAGTGTCAATGAATGTTCCAGATCCCGATTTTCATGATTTTGACCTGGATCGGACTGAAAGTTCTTTTGAAGATAACCAGGTTTGGGCTGCATATGATGATGATGATGGCATGCCGCGTTTCTATGCTATGGTTCATAACGTTATATCTAGGAAACCATTTAAGATGAGAATCAGTTGGCTTAATTCAAAAACCAACAGTGAATTTGGTCCAGCAGATTGGGTAGGTTCTGGTTTCTATAAAACCTGTGGGGAATTCAGGGTTGGTAAACATGAAATTTATATGTCTTTAAATTGTTTCTCGCAAAGGGTTAAATGGACAAAAGGTGCTCGAGGGACTGTTCACATATATCCCCAAAAGGGGGATGTGTGGGCTCTCTATCGGAATTGGTCCCGTGATTGGAATGAGCGTACCCCAGATGAAGTGATACACAAGTATGACATGGTGGAAGTGCTTGATGACTACCAAGAGGAACAAGGTGTTTCTGTTACTCCTCTTATAAAGGTTGCTGGATACAGGACAGTATTTCATCCGGATCTGGACCCTGATAAAGCAAGGAGAATTCCAAAAGAAGAAATGTTCCGATTCTCACACATCAGATGTGAGAATCGGAACATTTCTTCTTTGGAATTCTCCTTGCTTTATCAGGGTCCAGATCCGGATGAAATACTGTCCTGTATCCAGCAACCTTTATAAGAGGAGTAACAGAAACACCTTGTTCCTCTTGGTAGTCATCAAGCACTTCCACCATGTCATACTTGTGTATCACTTCATCTGGGGTACGCTCATTCCAATCACGGGACCAATTCCGATAGAGAGCCCACACATCCCCCTTTTGGGGATATATGTGAACAGTCCCTCGAGCACCTTTTGTCCATTTAACCCTTTGCGAGAAACAATTTAAAGACATATAAATTTCATGTTTACCAACCCTGAATTCCCCACAGGTTTATAGAAACCAGAACCTACCCAATCTGCTGGACCAAATTCACTGTTGGTTTTTGAATTAAGCCAACTGATTCTCATCTTAAATGGTTTCCTAGATATAACGTTATGAACCATAGCATAGAAACGCGGCATGCCATCATCATCATCATATGCAGCCCAAACCTGGTTATCTTCAAAAGAACTTTCAGTCCGATCCAGGTCAAAATCATGAAAATCGGGATCTGGAACATTCATTGACACTGGTGCAAGGTCCTCTGTATTTTTACCATCAGCAGTAGCTCTATGGACACTCTTATTGGCTTGGTCTCCTGTCTTGGTAGCAAAAGACACGCCAGTCCCATTCGGATCATGTGCAGGACCTTTTAGGGAACGTTTTTCTTTTTCTTTCTTGCTCTCTTTCGCCTTCTTTTTCTCCGTCTCTGCAGCTGCATTTCTGATCTCCATTGAGTCAACTTCTTGCAGATCTCTGTCCGAGCCTTCTCCATCAACATGTTTCGGATCTCAAACGGTGTCAACTCTCTAGTGCTGTTAGGCTTATTATTTATACCACGAAAACCGTAGACCCCATCTCCAGATACACTTCCTGTGCCAACATGACCAGTTCCCATGGCCGTTTGATATGCCAAGTTTCCATGTTCATCCAGTATGCTTCTCTTTTTCGAATGTGTCTCCCACTCTGCAGTAGCCTGTGTCTCCTGACGTTCTCTCTTCAATCTTTCATTTGCCTGCTGAACAACATGGGCTGCTTTTGCCGCAATGGAAGGTTCCATGTTACCAAAACCAGTTGTTCTAG